GAACAAGATCCAATCGAGTTGCACTGTGACAACCAGAGTACAATGTGTATCGCGCGGAACGGTGGATACACACCCCGGACAAAACACACCATTACATCCGTGATGCGTTGGACCGGAAAACTATCAAACTCAACTACGTCAAAACCGAAGACCAAGTTGCAGATGGTTTGACGAAGCCACTTCAGCGAGTCAAGATTGAACGCAACCAAAGAGCAATGGGTTTGCATATTTGGTGGGTTTTGATGTAGGACTACGTCTGTGATTTCTATATGGGGGTACACTTTGTGAAAACCGAAAATGGAACGTGTAACAAATTATGAAAGATTTTGAACGTTAATAACTCAGCTGCCCCTGGTCCAATTTCAATAATTTTATCACCAATCGATCAGAAATAAGGCTACGCATCGATAACAATGCTTGTAAGAAAAAGATAATAATAGATTATATTGCAAACATTTTTCTTCCATAAAAACACTGCCGAACAGTGGAAGTTGGATTGTATATGTTGAGGAATGAATAATGCTGAATAAACCCTATTACGCATAAACAAGTTTTTCAGTGTCGTCTATGGTATCACCCCTGGGCAGTAAGAACTATCTACTACTATATTCCTTTTGACGCTCTTCTAGTACTTAAACAAGGCAATGCAATCTAGTACATCACCACTAACTGTCACCGGCGAAGATGATTCAAATTCACTTTTTTCGCAACCGGCAATTGGAGCAGACCGATTTACACAGTATACACATACATACATACATACAGTAGTGGTTACCGTTTCCGCTTTCCTAGTAGAAGCCCAGACGAAGTGACAGACGGAGCGGCTCAAAAACTTTGGTGACTAACCTGCTATTGCAAATTTTCAGTGTACCACATGGCAACACCACTAGTACTGGATTGTACCACATGGCAACACTACTACTGGACATAACTAGCATTTTCACCAAATGTACTAGAATGTTTTGGTTCTATCTCTTTCACTCTACTTAAAACTGAAATTCATAATAAAATAACAAAATGATACACTCTTTGCACACTGTCAAAGAATCATTGTACACAAAATCAACTTTGAGCAAAATCAAAACAAAAATACTATCCCATCTGGTGGATGATGGCACAAGCTTCTAAGAAAATTCCATTACAGCGAACCACATTATTTAAATTGATTTCTTTGCCAGTTAGTCGTCTGTCACTTCGTTTGTGGTAGAAGGTCGCGAGTTCAATCCCCAGCTCAACCTTTTTTTTTATTTGTGTTCTAAATCGTAATCATCGATCACTTCACTCACGACAACAAATTTATTGATTTAGTTAGATAACCCAGCATCCTTTCCTTGGAAATTGGAGAGGTGAAGAGGTAGAATTGGTCTCATGTAAAATAACTATGAATGAATTAATGATTCCCACTGAACCTTGGGACGATAGGGAGTGCTGATTGGTACTCAGTTTCAAGCAAGGTTTTATTGAATATTGAGCAGCCCATATAATGTATTCTAGGATAACTCAGATAAAAAAAAATCTAGTCTGTGTGTGGTGCGTGCTTCGTCAGAAATAATGAAAACAATCATTAATGAGAAAAGACAACTCTGCTCGCAACTCTGTCTGTAGCTACCGTTCATTATTTTCGGGTTAATTTTCCTGCAGTTGAACAATTGTTTAATAAATGTATAATAGTGTCTAATTTAAACTTTACTTCACATGATAATCTAGCGTATACATCATCGCTGTTTAATGAAGTAAAAATGTCCAATAAACGCTGAATAAAAAAAAAATGATCGAATTATCTCTGTTACAAATCATGGAACTCAGTGTTCACTCGGCTGTCGACAAAAGCAGACCACTTTCGATGTATGCTACGCGATCGTCTGTTTTCTCGGCAGCAACCATTGTGTGGTCCTCCTCATTGTTCTTCATCAGCAGTTCTTTCGGTCGATGCGTCGTCGACTTTGGAAAGCAACCGTTTCGTGATGAGTGTGTGAGTGCTGACCACGTTTTGCGTCCATTGCTGCAATGGACGCGCTCTGACCCTCGTTGGCGTACAACAATTTGCCATACAATGAAACTACTGGAAGCGGCTCCAGTTCTGATGGAGGAGGCTTTTTGGATAGCGGAAGATAAAGTGTTTATTGTGTTGTACCTTTTGACTATATTTTTAAGATGTATTGTATAGTGACCAAGAATCCTCGGCTCTGTAAAGTTAATTCGGTTGAGCCTTACCAAATAAATTAATAAACAAAAAAAAACAAATCATGGAAGCCGAATAAAAGCTTTTCGACATACTTTAAACCAACACTATGTTGTGGTTGAATAAATTCTCCAGATTTGCGTGAACAAAGCCTGAACAGAAGTTATTATTAAAAATTGTACAAGTATTATTAAGCATGCAGTTGGAAGTCGTTTCTTCAAAAGACGATTGTTTGTTGGGTACCTAGTGCCGCTGCAGCAGTACTACCTATGGCGGAACGGATGTCCCTCCAGGCATCTTCAAGAGAAGCTACGCCAAGCTGCTTGGGTAGTGGGCAGTGCAACTTCCAGCTGCTGCGCGTAGTCCTAGGCAACTCCGGCGTCCCGTAATTGCTCGATGTTGGGTCGCGGCGTTCGACTTCGACGGGTGTTACGCACCGTCGAGTTTTGAGCGCATGCATACCAATGAGCTGGATTACCGAGGTGAAGCAATCGGTTAAGCTGTGTGAGTACCTCATTGCATGCATACTGAAACTAGGTAGTGGTCCGAATCTATGTGCGCACTGCGGTACGTGCGGACGTTGATAATGTTGGAGAAGAATTTCCCGTCGATTAGACCGTGATCGATTTGGTTTTCTGTGTGTTGGTCAGGTGGTCTCCAGGTGGCTTTGTGGATATCCTTGCGGGGGAAAAGGTACTTCGAACTACCATACCCTGGGAGACTGCAAAGTTCACGCATCGTTGGCCGTTGTCGTTCGATACGGCATGCAGGCTGCCGGTCTATACATTGCCTCCCGTCCTACCTGAGCGGTCATGCCGTCGATGACGATTTTGACGTCCCGTTGCGAACAGCCGTCGTACACCTTCTCCAGATGCGCATAGAACGCTTCTTTCTCGTCGTCGGGTCTCCCTTCGTGTAGGCAGTGCACGTTGATGATGCTGTAGTTGTGATAGCGTACATATTATTAAAACGTTCAATAAAAACTCACTGTCCTTCTTTAATGTTAAGGAAAGGAAACATCGTCCTCCTTTATTCTCCAAGCCCAAAATGAAATGTCCTCTTTTTCAAGTTTCTGATATGGTAACACTACAGCTGGTACACCCAACCGGGTTATGTAAGATTCGCTTACAATTATGTGGGATTCGTCATCTGAGGATGTTAGTGGAGACCGCATGAACCGAGGATGCGATATACCTAGCTGCAGTCCAATGCAAGAAAATTGAAGGCCGAAAAATGTAGAGTGTATTAGTGAGGTAAATTAGTTATGTCGAAAAAAATTGGAAATAGACTGCCGGCTGGACTCGAACCACGAACGTTGCGATAATCAGACCTGTGCTTTGTCCACTGCTCTCTCCATGCTTCTGAATATGGTTAGCCTAAAAGCAAACATGAAGCGCTCATTTTCTCGCATACTCGACTTCGTATGCTTTTTCTGCTGGAGAGATTCGAGGCAAGTGTGTGCGTCGTTCTACAATGTTTTACAATGTGCGTCGTTCTACAAGCTTACTGGTATAGTCGAAAGCGTAGATAGAACACGAAATAAAAAAGACAAAAAAATCATTACATCGCCTGCATGGTCAATTTCTAACATTCGTTGCGATGTTCATGAACAGAGGATGATAGGAAACGGAACTAACATTCATTGTAATAGATTTTTGGTTTGCGTGTACATACTGAGGCTGTTTTCTGGAAGACTCTACTATGCCAATTGCTAAAATCATTTGGTAATCGTTACGCAAACCACTAACACTTCCACTATACAAATTTACTTCACATCATTAGTTATTTGAAATATAATTTTTTTTTCACGAGAAAATCACACGTCAATTTAGCAGCGCAGCCTACTCCGATTAATCTTCCTCTGTGTTCATATTAATGAAATTCTGAATATGGTATTCAGAACTATGGGTCTTTTGGGGTAGTGGAAATCGGGGTAATGTTCTAGAACCATCGCGCGAAGAACGAAATGAAAGTTCATTATTTTTAATTCGATTTTTAGTTCTATATCAACCATATATCAGCTTTACATTGCAAAAAGATCCCTTATCGGTCCCTTACTTGTTGATTACATGGGTATGCCAAGCGTCCATTATGTAAGATGACTTTTATGCCAAGCTACTACACATTTAGATTTTTTCGCCGAGATGGGCTCCACCGAGTAGCTCGGCATTTTATTTTGCTGGATCTCAGATTCAGCTAACAAACGGGAATTTTGCCGAGATCTCAGCTAACAAACATATTTTTGCTGAATTTCCAGCAAAATAAAATGCCGAGCTGCTCGGTGGTGCCCATCTCGGCAAAAAATCTAAGTGTGTAGGTTTAGACGATTCAATCCGACGTTCAATTCTATTTTCAAATTTTCTATTCGCTTTCAATGCAATGTTAAATTCAACTCACTTGCCTAGTCTAACGCAGCTTAATGCCAAACGGCCAAACCCTATGTGAAATCATATCAAATGTTTTTGTTTGCACATTGCTGGTTGATAATGCACACGGTTAATCACACGCACACTTCCATGGTAATATGTAACTTTCCTGGTATAGGATCCATAGGCACGTCCCCAAACGTCCGAAGGTCAAGCCAACCCGCAATTCGTCATAGCAGTAAAATAGTACGACCGGAGTCTTAAACCTGATTAGCTAGAGCCCTGCATTAATCGCCAAAGATAGACAGAGTTTCGACGATTCCTCAATTCCACCGGACTGACTAACTGATAATGAATACCTATAGACGGGGAATGCGCGCTCGCGGTTAGTCTACTACACTCGCATATAAACATTCGTGGCATGATCGATCAGTCTGGAAGCTGCCGTTGCAGTGATCGGATCGCTTTCTTCTTTCGAGTCGAGTGAAACGTGAAAAGTGCTCTTACCGTACAGTGCGTGCTTGTGTTGTCCGTTGTGCCCGTAGAGTGTGCACTCCCGAAAGCCCCCGACGAGGGTCATTATTGTTCAAACACTCAATACAACAACAATGGGTCAGTTGGTTGGTGTGTCAGCACGCCTTATTTCGTCGTCATATCTAACTATCGTTGCATGTGCGAGCCAGTTGTTGAAACGTTTTGTTTGTCCATCATTTACATTGACGATATGATTATAGTTAAGACGACCGTTTACTGTCTAACCGTTCAATTTCTCGTCACAGTGCATCAGAAGCTGAAGCGCCAGAACTCGGGACTCCCGCGGATGGAGTCGATTTCGCGGTTCGGCAGTATTCCGGTCGTGGAGACCGGAATCAAAACCGCCAACACGGTTTATCAACGGGTTAAGGTATGTGCGAGGGAATGCCGAATCGAGGAGTTGATTAGTGGAATGATTTGTACGCTTTTAGGAAAGTAATGGACTGTTCACCTGGGGGTTCGAAACGGCCGAAGCCATGACATACGCTTTTGTGGATTCACTCCGCCCGGCCGCAAAGCTGGTCGAAGGGCCACTGCATCGTTTGGACAATTTCATGTGTAAAAGTTTGGACTTTGTCGAACAGAAAGTCCCTTCGATGTATCTCCCACCGGAGATGGTGAGTATTGACGTAGCTTTCACAACGTGTAAAAACACGTGATCGAAGGTTGTTTTGCATTTTGCATAATTTCGAAGTAAACAATTGGATGGGTTGTTCAAATGGTGTATAAAACCGACAGGCGATCGCGTCACACAAGCTAGTTCTATTGTAGTTTCGCAATTGAATTGTCAGTAGTCGTCAAATTCCATCACTAACGGGTCTCATTTTCACCAAACAGATGTACTGGAACACCAAGGAGTACATGTCCGACCATCTGGTGAAGCCGGTCTTGAGTCGGGCCAATTCGATGAAGAATCTCGGCCATGTGGTGCTGGAATCACGGGTATCGAACTACGCGGCCGATCGGTTGGACGGTGCCCTGAACGTATGCGATAAATACGTTGACCTATACCTTCCGGCGGAACCGGAACCCGTCGATAAACCGGATTGTGAGTATATTCCTACATCCATTTATTACGGGAATTCCCTAAGCTGATGATAAGGATGATTTTATGTCATATTCATATAATTTGACGGCGAAACTACATCACCCGACAGAGTGTTAATTGAATATATTTGAAAATTGTTGTGAGTTGTGATGAAATCCCTCGCACCGCGCGCGCGCGCGCCGTTGTGGCTGGATGCTGATAGTGGATTCTTTTTGTTTATGTTTGGACGAAATCAGCAAAAGTTGAACTTTTGACTCCCGACAACCTACTGATTGGACGGGTATGTTGCAGAGCCGTGATATTGGTGGTGTTCGACACGTGTTATCTGAGCGCTGTGCGGTGCGACGAGAGGTTTGCTGAAATTGATTGCGTTTCTGATGTGCATGTTCTGTAGGGAATCATTGCATCCGGTGGCACCAAAAGCAATCATTTGAATTTAAATCAATGATTGCGGTGGCTTCTGATATTAAGTCTGTTTTCTCCACGAATAGGTCAGGGGTTGTCCATAAATTTAGTAGACAGTTTTTGACGAAAATATCATCGAAATCCCATTCCGAGTATTCTAAAGAGCTCCCAAAATTGTTTAACTAATAGGCGTATGAGTTGTTCGCGTTTCTTCCGACTCTGTTGATTTGTAACATTCTAACCGATTTAGGGTGAATTACGTCGTCAGCAGTAGGGAGACCTCAGGGTAGTAATTATGTGAACTTTGTGTGGTATCTCGTTCTAGCCTGATGTAATTTCAAATTGCGTCTAAAACAATAAACTAATGAAGAGCAACCCTTGTACTTCTTTGCTTCTTCACCTAAGTAAGCGTTCCGTGTTCTTGTTCCACTTTTTCCAAATACATAAATACTTTCGAAGTGCGCAAAGAAAATATGTATAAAATACCAGAGGGGCCCACCGTAAGAGAAGGTCGCACTAAGCACACCGGCGGCTCGCATGTTTACATATCTTGCAAACACGCTCTTTTTTTCAAATCTGACCGCTGGTAGCTCATCAGCCTATAGAGATTGCTGACGTTTATCGTACGCACACTACGTCACGTATACGTATACGCAAAATGTTTTCATCGGGAAAAAAAAACTTCATAGCAGAAAATTTTCCCGATGAAAACAAATCACTGACACAATCATACTTTAGCAATCTCTATAGCACTAACATTTGATTTTACATTTCAATTGGCTAGCCTTTGGCTATTCATTTTTGTTCTAGTTAATTAATTATTTTAATGTGATGATTGCGTTTAGCGCTAATTTACACGAAACCCTTTTAAGGGCTTGTTTTCGTTTGAATTTAAAAAATTGATAACCTACCTACTTGAGCACAGGAATCTACCTAACTACTTGAACTAGGTTGCCAAATCACGAATGATCTGGTGGTTTGATCGCAGACAGGTGACTCTGAACCTTTCCAGCGTGGACGTCTTTCGCTCCTCGAGTGTTTAAAGACCGGCCAGGTGGTGAATCTCAGAATTACGAGTTCGCGGTGGACTGTTAAGGATCATTCTGAGGATCTTGTTTTGGATTCTCTAAAGCTTGAGGTGGTGGCACTTAGCACAACTCTCCCAACGTATCAGAGAGGACATTGTTCAAGTAGATCAAGGTTCAGAGTATGACTCACCTGTCTGGATGCTGGTACGTGTTGCTCCCTGGCACGGGATATCACCTCTTTGATGGTTTGCAGACACCGATCGACTTCTTCGAAGGACTCCGGTAGGACGTCATAGTCGATTGCTGTGTCCACACAGCGCTGGTACTGCTGCCAGTTGACACGATGGTAATTTCGCCGGGAAACTTGAAATCTATTGGCAGAGGAACCTACTTCGGTCACCAACGGATAGTGGTCCGAGCTCAGTTCCTGATAGGCGATAGGTTGAGAGATGTTATCGCCAATGTTGTTGATGAAGATGTCGATGGTGGCATGAGCTCCGGATCGACTCAACCGGGTGAGAGTGTCCGGACAAAGGATGTTGTAGTGGGCTTCCTGCAGATCGTTGTACAAAATTGTGCCGTTCTGGTTTCGTCAACTATTGCCCCAGACTTGATGCTTGGCGTTCAGGTCACCAGCGATGATGCAATTTTGTCGCCGTCGTGTTAGCTTGATGATGTCTCTTCGGAGGTCTGCGGCCAAGCCGTTGGTTTGCTTGGGGCAGTAGACCGCGATGATGGTGATTGGACCAAGCGTTGTGTTGATCTAGACATTTTGCTTCACCCGGTTATTCATAATTTTCAACATTTCAAAATGGCCAACACAACCGTATCCGAACGGACCCTGTTCCTGTCGAGAGAAATGACGGACGCAATTAAGAACGCGTTTTAAGTTTGCTTTGCACCATGGATTCTTATGTAAATGGAAAACCTACAGGGGTTACTCAAAATAACTAGGATAGGCAAATTTTTGGTCAACTTTCCCGAGAGCGGCCAATGTGGTAAATGATTCACTTTAATATCAATAACAATATTCATGAAAATCCATGAAGAAAGTGCTTTCGCACGGCACTTTTTGAGTTAAAACGAAATTGTCCCCTGCTACAGGTTCTCTCGGGGCATCCCAGTGGTTCTGAGAGCAGCGAATGTGGTAAATGATTCACTTTAAGTCTAAAGAAAGAATATTCATGAAAATCTATGAAGAAAGAGCTGTCGCACGGCATGTTTTTGAGTCAAAACGCAATTGCCCCCTACTACAGATTCCCCCGGGGGTATCCCGTGATTCCGAGAGCTGCCAATGTGGTCACTGATCCATTTGAAGTTTAATGAATGCCTATTCATGAAAAACCATGAAAAATGAGCTGTCGCACGGCATGTTTTGGTGTAAAAATGCAATTGTCCTCTACTCCAGGTTCCCCGGGGGCATACTGGAGGTCCCGAGAGCGGCCAATGTGGTCACTAATCCATTTAAAGTCTATCAAAAGCCTATTCATGAAAAAGCTTGCAGAAAAAGCTGTCGCACGGCATGTATTGGTGTAAAAACGCAATTGACCCCTGCTACAGGATCCCTCGGGGGTATCCCGTGATTCCAAGAGCGGCCAATGTGGTCAATGATTCATTTGAAGTTTATGGAAAGCCTATTCTTGAAAAACCATGAAGAATGAGCTGTAGCACGGCATGTTTTGGTGTAAAAATGCAATTGTCCCCTGCTCCAGGTTCCCCCGGGGGCATACTGGATGTTCTGAGAGTGGCGAATGTGGTCAATGATGCATTTAAAGTTTATCGAAAGTCTATTGACGAGAAACCATGAAGAAAGAGCTGTCGCACGGCATGTTTTGAGTGATTAAATTTTTTTTTTTTTTTTTTTTTTTGCTTTATTAGAGAGATTTTCAGCCTTGGGCTGGTTCATCTCTTAAAAGTGATTAAATGATCTGCCCGCATTCAGAACAAGGTTGCAAAGACTCATTTCAGCTAAAATAATGTTTTTCGGAATAATAAAACCAAAAGATGGTATGATGGCATGTTTTACTTGTAACTTACAAGAAGAGGTTACAAAGTATGCGTTGGAAACATAAAACCTGTAAATTTTGCTTTCTATGAGTCACAATCAGCGATTTGCTGATCGCTGAGTGAGTGAGTGAGTGAGTGAGTGAGTTTGTGAAAAATCTCTGATTGTGACTCTCATGAAGTGAAATAAACAGGTTTAATATGTCAAAAACATTCTTTGCAACCTCTTCTTGTATCCTACCAATTCAAAATTTGATCATGGCATCTAATTATTTCATAATTTAGAAAAACATTGTTTTAGCTGAAATGAGTCTTTGCAACCTTGATTCAGAACCCTTCACCAGAACCGATTCCAGGGAAATGGCCATATCTCGGTTGATTATGAGCCGATTTTAGTTCTTGGCATATGATTTGCTTTAAAAGTGGTTCTTCTTTCGTTGTATTTACTAAAAAAAACCAGCATCATATATAAAATTTCAGCAAAAATTTAGCAAGTTAGACAAGCCCTCCGGAAACCCGGAATATCTCCGGTATCCGGTGACCAGGATTATTTTCGTGGCTACACCGTAGAACAATATTAGTTTTCCAGTCAAATTCTCTTGGAAGATTAAAAATCGGATCATATTTGACGAAGTTACAACACTCCAAAGTTGACCAAAAATTTGCCTATCCTAGTTATTTTGAGTAACCCCTGTACTTGCCCATTTTTCTAAATTATTTCAGAACAAATTTCTTGAGTTCATCGAGTATAATTAAACTATGAGCTACTTGCTACCACTTCCATTGAAAAACTTAGTTTTGACAAAAACGCAAATGGGACCGAGTATAGCGCATCACCAACAACGAACGATACGAAATCATGAGCTCCGTTGGCTCCGTGCCGCACGGTGGCGAGCCGAAGCCCGTAGCACCGCGTTTGGGTTTCTCTTTTGGTTCGGTGGCGTGCCAACATGTTGCACCGACACCGGGTGCTTTATCGAAGAAACCCAGTGCTGTGAGTAGGTTGCCACCGAGCCGCACCGAGCGGTGTTTTTACCAAGTCTGTCGGCAGCTGATGTTCCGTCTCGCAGCGATGGCCGCTCCCGCTCCCCCGGAGCTGGTGCGGTCAATCCTTACGAGCCACAAGTTGGGAAGGAAGACGTTCAGCTCGGGCTTCAAGTGAGTTTCGGTGATGGGCTATGTCGATGTGCGTGAGAAAGTCAACAAACTCGAAGTTTTTGCTCTTCAAGGAGCAAGCATTCCAATTTACGATCTTGATGGCTTCACGGTCCATACTTAGTGACAAGGACAGGGCAGCATGTAGCTGTTCAGATCGAGTCTTGCAGGTGCGCATGATGATGATGACCTCGGCCACGAGCGTCACAAGTTCCTCCGAGGTGAACGGAGAATCGTCGACAGGTTCATCTGAGACAGGACTAGCGTATGATAAACCAGGGGCGGTGGATGAACCTGGAATTTTCTGGGCCGCAGCAGCAGCGAGACGATGCTGAACTGTCCGACTGTTGGGAACCATTTGGATACTCGCATGATTGGCTTGTTGGTTGTTGAGTGGAAGCGGGGCTAGGTTCGGAACATGTCGACGGGGCTGGAGAGCTGGGTACTGAACTTCCGTGAGTACAGGAGGCGAACGATGATTACGGAGGCGACCGGGCTAATTGTTGATTGTAGCCTTCCGACGGATATTCATAAAATCCACTCGCTTGGGACATCCGCGATTGGAGGCTTGGTGGTTTCCACCGCAGTTGACACACGTTGGCTCGATGTCATCATCTTGCTCACAGGACGCAGTTCAGTGAGTTCCAGCACACTTGCCGCAGTTTGTCTTCATGTGGCAGTTTTTATTACCATGGCCATATGAGAGGCAGTTCATACACTGCGTTACATCATGATATGGGGGTTTGTAATGCTCCCAACTGATGATGACCTGAAACAGGTCCCGGAAATTAGATCTCAGAGTTGCAAGACTGGTGGATCCCTTCGTTAAATGCACCAGGAACAACTGATCACGAAAGCTGGTGTTGTGGTTGGAACGCCGGCTCATCGGGTACACTGCCTCAGGCTTGAGCCCAAGCCGCTCCGGTAATCCACGTAAAACCACCTTCAGTGGTTTGCTCGATAGCAGATCATGCGTGAAGAAGTCCACGTTGTTGTCCTTCAGGAAACATCCTATTAGTTTGTACTCCTCCAGGCTGGAGCACATGATTTCGGTACCGATGCAGCAAAGCTTGAAGCGAGGCAGCAGCTTGTGTTTTGCCAGTTCGGCACCCAGCTGAAAAGCGAGGGAATCCGCTCTCTTCTTGCAATGGGAACGGCGTCACCATCGCCATTTTCTTCCGGGAGTACTGCATACTGGTTGGCTTGCAGTACCCGTTTTCTGGCGTCATCCTGCAACGCGCTGGGCTTGATTAGCACCTTCTTTGAAGGACCCGCTGCTGTCTCATTGGCACGTTTACGCACCATTTGTTTCGTGTTTGCAAGTTCAAGTAAACTTGCCAGAACGCGGGAAAGTGGCGACACTTCCAAGGCGCAACGTGACAGCACAAAACGAAACAAAATCGAATCGAGAACTCGAGCGAAAATACGGACTGAACAGCTCAACAGTCGAGCAAAGAATATAGAACTAACACTAGCACTAACAATGTTTGTTTATTTACTTATTGTCTTGTGCTTTACAATTATTGTACATTTTAATTGATTTAACCCGAAAGCTCTTCATCTTTTGTGATTATGTCTTTAACAAGTTACTGTTTGATTTTAGTTTTACATTGTTATAGTTTACATTTTGCTTTTAAGGAAAGCATATTTGTTGATTTTAATTAGTAAATTTGATATCCTACCTAGTTAACCTAGTAGTAATAGCACTAACCAATGCATCTCTACTATTTATGCTAAACCGAAACAACCTCAGCTAAGCATTTGCAAAGAGAGGTAAGGTACATTCTATTATCGAATTTGTTTATTATCCAGGTTGGAAGCAGTTTCAACCCTTGCGAACCCGAGCTTATTGTCAGTGCGAACCTCAGTGCCGAGCCAGGTTACAAAAACAAACGTTAGCACTGACATTTAATAGGCAACAAGCAGACCCAATCTTGACACCCGATCCAGGTTGGAACTGAATCAAAATCAAATTCGCTATATGTTGCGTATCTCGAATCAGATGTCGCATGACAACATTTTATGCTGTATCGTGATGTCGTGCAACGCTAAAAATTTAACATCTCGACGGTGCGATGTTGTTCCGTACCTATACTAAACACTCTTATCTGTTCGCGTGTTAGCTGCTAAGTTTTTACATATAAAACTATCGCATTAACATCCCATGTTCCCGGTAACTTTCAGGTCCTAATCCCGGGCAGCCCCAGTCGGACGATTCGCACGAGACACACGTAATCCAAACGATCCACCGTGGCCAGCAGATTTCGCGCAAACTGAAACGTCGGCTCACGTTCCGCACCCGCCAGGAGTTGAGCGCCCTGAAGAAGCAAAGTACCGAAGCCGTGCACGTGGTGTTCTACGCAGCCGAGCTGATCGCTACCAATCCGCGGCTGGCCATGCAGAAGGGTGCCGAACTGTGGAAGTATCTGAGCGCTGACGAACCGGAAAATCAAGCCCGCCCCCAAACGCTCGAACAGTTGATGGTGCTACTGACGAGAGAATCCGTCCGAAAGATGGTCCATCTGATCAACTTCACCGCGGGTACGGCCACGAAAGTTCCCAACATTGTTCGATCGCAGACTCGCGAACTGGTACACCACATGCTTTTTGCCACCGATCGATTGATTAAGGTTTGATCAGGTGATAGTGGACGTTTGAATATTTTGTTAACGGAGTGATGATTTCGATTCTAGGTTGCCCACTTGGAAAAGGCTAAGAATGCAACCATCACGGAAGCAACAGGGCTAATGCACCGAATTCAGCATACCTATGAGGACCTGCAGAATCAAACCAATTTGGCTTTGGTAAGGTTTCGAAAATTTCTGCTCAGCAATTAGAATCCAATAAACCATCTGATGTTGTTCTTGCTATTGTGTACCAATTGTGCTTTTGCAAATTTATGTTAAATCAGCACCGTCGGCTGTCATTGGTTAAAATTGAAAACCATAGTGATTTAGTTTATTGGATGCTTCTGAAATTGGTAATTTGCAGTTCGATTTTTGTTGTGTTATAATAAATCATTTTATAGTTGGCTTAAATTAAACGTTGAGAACCGCTGCTTGTGTGCATGTGTGTATGTTTGCTTTTCCTATTTGTGACCGTTAGGAACGTTTAGCAGTTTTTCTGTCCGGACGGTTGGAAGCGGAGAAGATCACAACCAGCGATAACCCCCGGCGAAGGATCCAGAACCGAGCGAATAATAATCCAATGCATAGTAGCATCAATGGCGTTTATTAGCGTGCGAACGGCCGAGCTATTGCTCATGCAACTTCAGCAGCAGGACTATGTTGACGGACGGCAATGGAATGGGGCTAATGGCCGTGAATGATATCTTTGTTCTTTTCTAGCAACAAATCTTTTTTACGTTAATGGTATGATATAATGATCAATAAATTCCGCTTTATATACAAACATGGCTACAATCTTAGTGAGAAAATATTTAAATAAGTCCTAAAATATATTCTTCCTCGCCTTGATCATCGGTGTCCAGCTCGGTGGCCCTCCCGAATCCGACGGTCTACTAATGAACACATTCGGTTTGAATTCGTCATCTGTTTCCGTTTCGCTTGCATTCGGTAACCCTGAACTGTTTGTTACATCCTGAGATTCGTCCGTAGTTTCTGGTTCATCTAAGACTAATTTGGCCAACGGAATCCCAACGGGGAGTTCTTCATCCTCAACCGGTGGCATGTCATATCTACAATCGGCGTAGAATTCGCTCAGTCGGGCAAATATCTTATCGGCCGTTTCATCAGCTTCCACGAGTAAACGTTCCAGTTCGTCCGTTCCGGCTGTGAACCCCAAACAACTGGTTTCGATCTCTTCCAACGAGTCCCCGCTGACGGCGATGAATTGTTTGGCGGATTCGAGCTTGTTGGGGTCCTGTTGGATGTAACCGCAAGCGAAATTTGCGGTCTTTTTGCGAAGAATGCGGAGCTTTGTGTCCACCTCAAAAGCGTGCTCTTTGGCGATGTTGAACATTTTGATCTGAGGAAAATTCTAATTTTTAAAATAATAATTTAAAAACTCGAAAACGGAAAACGGGTTTACCGGAACAATCGAACTCAAAACAACCGCTTCTGGGTCGACAACTGACAATGACAATAACAATGAATCTACTGTGGTATGAAAATTTGTAAATACGTTACGTGCGTGATACACGCTTTTTTGGGACTACTCAGTGACTGGGTAGATCTAAAGACTTCTAGTTAAAGGTGGTTAAAGTATAGACGACTGTCACCACAAAACTGGAAAGAGCTGTTCTAATCGAGCAAAGCGGTGGCATTTTGACAGACGTCCATACTTTTACACATTCATTTTTCCATGCTGTATAGAGTTGTCAAAAAATGAGTAAACTGGTTTTGCTCCGATGAGGGGAATCTACTCTAATGGTTCTGATATCATTTTTTCCTAAGTTCAAAATGGCAATGAGTGAAGCAGTGAAGATGGAGCAGCTACACAGCAAAAAAAAAAGTAATATCGATCAATGTAATTCAAGCTGATGTATGAAATAATGATGTTATAGCAAAAAGCAGATACAACCGAGGGGGATGACTCTATCTACGCTGCAGGAAAGATTGTGTTGTGCAGTGGCTAGCTGCTCGCACGCTGAGTAGATAGAAAGAAGATTAATGACGATTCTGAAGATTTCCTACAAAAAGATGATGCGCGATGCAAGTAGATGCGAGAAATACAAGAAGATTTTTCGAAGATTGATTCGCTAGTCTGAGATTTTTTGAGCATCTAAAATTGAGATTAAGATGTGTCGCCCCCCTTGGATACAACATTACATCAATGGATGTAATTTTGTTTGCAAAATCGATGTACATCGTACATCGTTATATTACACAACCGATGGATTGACACGGTTGCAGCAGTTTGGATGTAATATTCAACAACTTTTTTTATCTGTGTCAAATCGTTGAAAAAAAAAACCATTGATACATAGATAAAAAAGTTGTTGAATATTACATCCAAACAGCTGCACAGAGGTTATTCCGCTGCTGGTGTAATATAACGTTGTACCAACAATCAATACGAAACTAACGATTTTAAATTGGCTCACTACCTGACTAGCCTATTGGTCCCAAGCAAATCGACTAACGTATCCCATTCTAGTATAAATTCCAGTACTACACTATGTTTGTTTTGATTCGCTATGAAAATTTGACAGATAAAATGAGGGGTTATTGGTTTTTCCTATGTTTCGAGGGGTGAATCGATTAGCTTGGGACCGAAGATAGTACCAGAGCTGAGCCAAAAAGTTGAGCTCGTTTCTTCGGGACCTTCTGGTCTTAGAGTTACCTCTATGGTTGTACGATGTACATCGATTTTACGAACAAAATTACATTCATTGATGTAATATTGTATCTGCTTTTTGCTATTACATCAATATTTCATACATCAGCTTGAATTACGTTGATCGATATTACATTTTTTTTGCAGTGTAGAATTAAAAGTATACATTGTTTTTTTTTTTGGTAGAAAGCGTTTAGCTTTCAAAACGAAAATTGGCCAACTATCAAATCAATAGTTGCCCGGTCACTACCAAAGGGTAACTCACTCCACCACATTGTGTTTAATACCTTGTACAGACATACAAAGTACACTGTTGTACCAACAATCAATACGAAACTATCGATTTTAAATTGGCTCACTACTTGACTATCCTATTGGTCCCAAGCAATTCGATTAACGCACCCCATTCTAGTCAAAATTCTAGTACTACACAATGTTTGTTTTGATTCGCAGAGTTTGACAGATAAAATGAGGGGTTATTGGATTTTCCTATGTTTCGAGGGGTGAATCGATTAGCTTGGGACCGAAGATAGTACCAGAGCTGAGCCAAAAAGTTGAGCACGTTTCTTCGGGACCTTCTAGTCTTAGAGTTACCAACAATCAATACGAAACTAACGATTTTAAATTGGCTCACCACTTTAGTAGCCTATTGGTCCCAAGCAAACGATTAACGTACCCTATTCTAGTTGAAATTCTATTACTACACTATGTTTGTTTTGATTCGCTATGAAAGTTTGACAGATAACATCAGGGGTGTGTGGATTCATGCAGAACATGCAGGGGTGAGTGAAATAGCTTGGGACTGCTTGGGGCCGTTGTTCTGGTACTGAGTGAGCCAAAAATAATAATGATTTTCTTCGGGACCCAGTGGTCTTAGAGTTACCTCTATGGAGTTACCTCTATGGTTGTACTACCGTTGTACTTCTTTAAGCTAGTACCTCAAATTTTACCTTTTGAGGTACTCGATTAAAGGAGTACAACGGTACTGCTTTATATGTCTGTCAATGGTATAACACTCCAAAAACACTGTTCAACTTACTCCAAACACACTTCCACCAGTATTTTCTTTTAATTCTGGCACCACAGTCATGGATGTTTACAAGCATTCGATTGTTATTTTTATAAACAGTAGTTTTGCATCTATGACAAATTCATTCAAAAGGATATGCGAGAGATGGCACAGGACGTGACAGTGAAGGCAGCCATTTGTGGACCATCTCTCGAAAGCTTGTATGGGAGGTACGCGGATCGACCACATGAGTTTAGTTTTATGGAGATTGGAGAGGAAGATCCTGTGCCTCGTCCTGTGCCTCGTCCTGTGCATTCTGGATCTTGTGGATATTGTGCGAACAAATGGCATCAAGCCGTTTTTAAAAGCACGTAAAAAGCGTGAGTCAGGGCGTGAATGCATCTTGGGTCCGTCGAAAAACAAGACGACGAATTTGATGGCCACAAGGAGCAACTTTTTCTATGTCAATCAATGAATGCGTTTGAGTATTGTGTGACAAGCACCTGGAACAGTTAATAAAAAATATTCTTCCAGTTACTCACAGCCACTCATCTAGCATCCAGAATGGCACACGAATCAAGGAATATGTTTGCAGCTGAATTATTAAAGAAAGAGATAGTCGATGAAGAGTATCGATCAAAGTCACTTACACCCCTCTCCTTCTGACCCCCTCAATTATAATTTGAGTAGGGTCTACTCCAGGCCAGTGACAAGGCCTATACCAACAGCAGCGTTTGACAGTAGACAGCATGTCCCGGGCTCAAATTACTTATTTTACTGTGCTGGGCCCACTGTCACTGTATAACATGTTGCCCGCGTCTGCCACTGGACTGATCTTCTTATATCGGTCAAAAGTAAGCATGAATTACGTTGATCGATAAGACATTTGCTTTTTGCTTAATCCAGCATAGATAATAACAGTCGAGAATATCGATAAAGAGAATCGATCATTGCAGGTAGCCGCTCGGGTTAGGTAGCCGCTGAGGAGAATCGATCAAAGCAGATGGATCTTTTGAAATGTTTGTCTAGAAATCCGATTACGCGTTGTTTACGAATGAAACGCTTTATTTTATTTCAGTGTATGCAAATCAACTGTGGTATTTTGTGGCGCAAGTTTGACGTTTCCATTTGTCAAATCAGTGCCAACATTTCAAAGGGGCGTAATTGCTTTTGTAAACAATGACTTTAGCCGTCAATTTCTCGTGAATGATATCTTACCTCTCCAAAATTACAATGCTAGATGGTAGAGGAAACATTCCTCTACCTGGTGGTGTTATTATTTTTCATGAGTGAGCTTTTATTTGCGAGAAATCTATGGCTAAAGCCATTGTTTACAAATGCAATTACGCCCCTTTGAAATGTTGGCACTGAAATCGTGAGACTGACGTTTCTCAGTTCAAATCAAAACAAGACAGTGCGCTGCGAAGTGCCGATTCGTAAAATCCCTGCATAAGAAAAACCAAAAAATGTACGGCGGCAAGACACCCCTGGAACTGCTGTCGGGATCCCAACCCAAGTCGTGGCTGCACGACAAGTGGGCTCCCACCGCCGGAGGAGTGCTTGGTTTTCTCGGTGCTTGCTACGTTAACTGGGGTTCCGGACGACCACTGTTCAGCGGTAAGATTTTCTCGTTGCACGAGAGTGTTGTGATGTAACACCTTCTGGAGTATGTTGATTGTGCTATTCGTATTCCACCCGTCCGTTTTGCAGGTATCCAGAAGCACGTCGTTGCTGCTATCGGTGTCGGAGCGCTGGCACTGACGGTGGATAAGTGGAGGACTGTGTACCTTGCCGAGAAGGACGCTACCCTGCGTCACTACATAGAACTGCACCCGGAAGATTTCCCAACTCCAGGTATGTAGTTTAGATAATGATGATGGTTATTTATTAGGCCATAGCTGCCCTGTCGATTGTACCTTTTATTAGGCCAACGATGCAACATTACCATTCATTTGTGAAGCAAAAATCGCATAGGTTCCTCAAATGGTTGCAAAAACTTATCATTACGGTACCAACAGATTACATCAAATGCAACATAATTTTTTCAAACTAAGATATTTGAGGCAATATTGCTCATTTCTCACCAAACCATTAAAAAGACTGATAAAAATGCGCGGTTAAGCAGGGCTGATAGCGGGTCACTTTTTAGTGACTTTGTCACTTTTTTTAAGGTGGTCACTTCAAAGTCTCTATTTTCGTCAAAAAGTCACTAAAGTTAATTTTTTTGAAGCGAAGGAGGCGCTAAATAAAGAACGCAAAATATTTTTCTTGAAAATTTTTTTTTTTCAACCATAAAATCTTTTTTAGTGCACCTATGTATAGCACTCAGCTCTGTTTAGGAATATCGGTCATTTCTTTTTCGCTTTGACAGGTTAAATGTTGACTGAAGTTCACTTCCATTCGGGCCTACGAAATATGGCGCACAGGTTGACAGATCCTTATGGGGATTTTCTGTGGAGTGAATGAATACGAATGATTCACACAAGGAGTAAAGAGTTCTAGCATATGAAGATGAGTGAGATTAATGTTATTCTTACTCTTTCTGGCGAAAAATTTATTAGAGAGATTTTTAGCCTAAGGCTAGTTCATCTCTTCATCTCTTCGAAATCGCCTAGCGTTCGAAATGTTGCTTTTGGTTTTTCGTTAGTGTATTTTTGGTTGTTTTCGATTCCATCATTTCTACGGGCTTCTTCAACGTAGTCCTAAATCCTGGTTTCGGTTTATTTTGAACTATAAAAAAAAACCACAAACACCGGTGTTGTAAATTTTGTTTTATGCTAGATATATTGTGCATTATTTTGAACCTGGTATATGCTGGAAAATCCTTTGAAGTACTTGAAGGTACTATGACGTTTTGAGAACTTCTCTAAAATGCTGGGATATTCTTGTGAGATTTTTCGTATTCTCTACAATTCTGGGAGCTTCTTTTGATTTTTTAGCAGCTTTGGAGAAGCTTGGTGTTCTTATATTAAGTATTTGGACTAATTGAACTAGAACTTCAATCCGAAAAACAAAATTGATGTGCAAGGAAACTATCTGAAGTTCTGGGAAATAATTTAAAGTTCTATGAACTTTTCCTGAATTCTCACATTTTCTAAAGGAGCATTCCTCTAGCGTACATTTTTTTAATAATTCAATACCCACTACCCCTTCGTCCTTAAAATCAATAAACTTCTCTGAAGCTCAAAGAGTTTTTTGAACTTCTGACATATTCTGCCAAGCTCCTCAAACTTCCTTGATGTTCTGCGATATTTAATGAAAAACTATAACCCTCTCTTTAGTTAGTTTGGTCTTGAAATATTTTGTTCTTTGGAATTCTTTGAGATTCAGGGAACTTTTTTAGGGTAAATGTTGGCTTCGGCACCCATTGACTGTTTTCGGCAACCAAAATTTAAACGTTAATTTCACTATGTTTTCCCATCAACGCACTTCCCTGAATGTGTCCAAACGATTGTTTAGCCTTTCAGCTTCAATCTGATTATATTTGAACGATCGAGCAATCCAGTAATGCTACATTTTTCTTCAAATAAAGCATACGCACTAAAAAATGGGGTTGATTTCGAGTTGCCGATAATAGAACAGCTGGTTAACACGCAGTTCTAATGGGAAGGTTGCCGAAGAAAAAGAGGCTGCCGACAATAGTCACACTCACCTGAGAAGTTTGGAGCGTTGTAAAAACGCTTTCAAAACGTTTTGAAAAATTCTGTCGATTGGAATGGATAGAGAAACAAGCAGCAGATGAATGTAAACAAACAGACACATCATATATGTGCGTGACGCTGAGAAAATGCTAGTAGAAATGCAGACGCTGCTTAGAATACGAGAATACGTAAATTCCCCTATATGCTTTGAACATTATTGAAATTATAAAAAAATTCCAAAGGATTAAAAAAAAAGTTTAGACTTCTTCGAAATGCTGGCAGATTCTAAAACTTGTTTAATTTTTTTAGAAGCTCAATATATAAACTTGTCTGAAATTCTTAAACTTTCTCTGATATTCTAGCACAGACAAACAGACATAACACTCGCAAGTTGTTCATCGAACAAGCATTTAACGGTCAATTGAAAAGTATCGTAGTTGGTAGTACCGCCACCTGTGGCGCGCAAAGTCAATTCCCTTGCGTTTGACGTTTACACACTACCGCCATCTGTTCAGCGTACTACCCTCCACAGTGTACTCAACAGATGGCGGTAATGTTTTAGCGACGATGTTTTACAGTGATAAATATTCAATGTGTTATGTCTGTTGGTCTGTGGTTCTAGGATCTTCTATGAAACTTTTAAGCTTCTTTAAAATTCTGTAAAATTCATTAGTTTTTAGGACTTCTCTGAAATTTGAAGAAAATCTTTAAAATTTTCAAAATTTACCTGAAGTTCTTTAAAACTTTCTGAAAACTTATGATCTTCTCTTAAGGCTTTGAGTTAAGATAACATGCTGTAGGATTCTCAATAAACCCTTCAAATTGCTCTTAACTTTTGAGATTTTTTTTTAAACTATACATTGTTGAAATAAACTGACGCAAGGTTCTTAAATAATTTTGAAGTTCTCCCAATGATCTTCTCTGAACTTCATTAATATCTATGGAACTTCTTGAAGTGATGAGTACTTCTATAAAGTTCTGAGGGCTTCCCTCTAAAATTGTCGTGTACTGCATGTTTCGTTGAAGTGAATTACTGAAGTCTAAGAAATAAGAACATTTATAAAGCTATTAAATAATTAAAAAAAATGAATTTCACATAATGAAGGATTATTCATCTTCTCAGTGAGAAAAATATAAGTGAGTTTATATTGTAAGTAATATAATTGGTTAAGTATAACTAAACTGTTTTGTTTTTTGAGAAAAACTAATTGTTGCAACAAAATAAAATATCTTTAGAATACGGGGATGTTGTTGTACGGTAGCGACACCTACTTGAGTTAAGAGAAGAATCAGAAATATGTAAAAAAAAAAGTGAGTTGCACGAAAAGACCTGTTTTCGTTTCAATAGTTTGAGTCCATATTAATAGTTTTTATGTGTTTTTTTGTGTGAAGTGGCTATGTTCAACCTTTTTCATGTATAAAATCAATGATTCAATGGAGCATTGTTGAATAACGAGGCGATTTGTGATTTTTGTGTGTTTAATTGTGTGTCCAAACTTCAATTTTTAGAAAATTATACAAAAACAAGGATATGGCTGAAATAGAGCTGGCTCAAGCCATGCTTGATGGTGTCGAGTCAGTACGCAAAAAGCAAGCGTCGCAAAAACGAGCAGCTGACAGCATGGAGGAAATAGTCAACAAGAAGAAAGCAACTGTTATAACTAACTACTTCGGAAAGAAGTAGTACTAATTTCCCTATTTTGGATCCTCTATTAGCTGTCACTAGATTCATGTACTATTCATTGTTGATTTTAAACTGTTTATTAATAAGGTGAACGTTAACCTGATACTTTAACTAGTCAAATATATTGGTTCCATGCAATCTGCATTCAAAGTTGAAGTCATCATTACGTTTTTGTGGACCACTCAGTGTTCGCTGAAGGATTGTTTACGTTCTGATGATGGATGATAACAAACTTTTACTGGAAAACAAGGAGAAATTCATACTAATCAAAGAATCTAATCTCGGCACAGAAGCACAAGAATCACATTAAATTCAACCCAGAAATAGACATTCATTTTACATTTTTTTTGCAAAAAATGTTAATTAAAACAAGTGGTTCACTATGGGATGCTGAAAGCTTTAGGGTTTTAATTTGGAACATCTGACTATATGTTAGATTTTGCTGTGCTTCCGTAATTGGTAATTTTCCGTTTGATTTAATCAATATTTTTCATAAAATAGATACTGAAGAGTTGTGAAAGGAAATGGATTTTACCGGATAATTGCTCCAGTTTTTCTGACCAATTACAATAATACCAATAGTGCAGTAAACGAAGCGGTCAAATTTAATAAGAGGCGTAATGCATTAGGAGATGCCATTAGATAACGAATAGTATTGCGAACTCAAAGCTGACAAAAACTCATATGGGACTGATGTGCAGCCCTGTCTGTAAGAAAACTGACAACATATAAGTGCTTGTATACAATACCAACCGAGGGTCACAGTCTCGCCATTCAACGCTCTAAGCTTGAGGGTATTTGTTCAAATGAAATACTATATGGATGCGCATGAAAGCTAGTAGAATTGCCAGTCTTCTTGGTACGTTGTGTTCCATCGAACAGCTGAAATTTAGATGTGTTTTCCTGCAGATGAAGACGGATTATATAGGTTGTTGTATTATAAAACACGCAAAAAACCATACAATAGCGATTGTTTTTATTAACGATAATTATAATGAATTTTCATAGCATAATATTTAAAATGTAACACACATTTTGGGCAACAATTATGAATTGGAACAGGTTTACTGAAAAAAGGATTTATCTTGAAAATTGAACAAAATGAAAGAGTAGCCAGCAGCAGGCTAGTGTAAAAATCAATCACTCATGTCTGTTTACAACAGATACCGATCATACAAGAACAAATACTACTAATATTGACAAAATGCTTAAAATCTTCTTATACATTTTTAAATTGGAGCTCAATAAGTTCTACTTGGGTCTCCTTTTTTGGTCACTTTTTGTGCCTTAAAAGTCACTTAATGGTCACTTTTTTACTCATTTTAGTCACTTAATGGTCCCTTTTTTACTCATTTTAGTCACTAAAATCACTATTTTTGGATATATTTGGTGCTATCAGCCCTGGGTTAAGTCAAATGGCATTTGTTCTCTTCGGTGTACTTATTCCTTATGAAGCAGACAAAACGGTTTGACGTAAACGTTCACATTAGACTGATGCAAAATTTGAAATTTTCGCTCCACAGTATTCA